TGGAGAGCAAATGTTTTGAGAATGATGAGGGCAATGAATGTACAAATGTGCTTTACACAATTGATGTATGTATGGATTGTGATAAGAGTCGTATGAGCCCCTATAAGAGTCGTATGAGCCCCTAATAAAACGATTAAAAAAAAAAAGTTAGTCTCAGGAAACTCACAAGGGCAGTTCTGCCTTGTCCCAGAGTTGGATTGGCTCCACAAAAGCGAGTTTGTTTTCTGTTGTGTTTTCCTTTTATGGCCAAGACCTGGGTTTGAATGCTGGCCAATGCACTGCCCTGGTGATTTCCAAGACGGAACTCTCTATGGCAGTACAAGCACAGTCACCGCCCACCTGTCAGTGGAGGTTCCTGGGGGGCCTCTGGGTAGGTCTGAATCTTTCCACGGCTCAGCATTTAGCCAGCTGTGCCATCCAGGGATGCCTACTGTCATCATGCAGGAGAGCAATCTGATGAAGGCCTGTCTCTCCCATTAGTCCCAAGACAAGTCAGGGAAAGCATGGTACAGTGCTGGCATAAGGACAGCATAGTGACCCTGTAAGACAGGGTAGAACTATCCCTGTGGGTTTCCAAGATTCTAACTCTTTACAGGTATAGTAAGCCTGTGGAGGGAGGGGGTGACAGCCCTCCACCACTAATCACGGGTTCGATAGACACAATTGTACGGTTGATAAATATATATATTACAATATAGTCATAGAGAGCATGAGAGATATAAGAGAGATTGAAATAATTTCATGGTAGCATGCTCACCTCCTGGATGGCCATTATCTTACCAGCCAGGTCTGCACACAGCGTCGGCCGAGGCGAGGTGGAGCAGGGACTTGGCAAGATGCTCGAGGACACCGTTTATTGCTAACCAAGGGTTATATCGGGGGCGTGATTGCAGGTAACCACACATCACAGGAAGGGGCAGTACAATAGGCATACCCATTATAGGAAGGGGATATACAATGGGCATAGGCATAACAGGAAGGGAATGAGCTGGGGGTGTGCACATAGGAATGGGAGGGAGTAGACAATCCCTACCATTCCTATGCCAGGAGGTTAAATGACAAGATGGGCAGACCCTAGATTCATGATGGCGGCCTAACCTTGGTCACCCTTGGGTGGGCTTGACCTCTCTAGGGTCTCCTACAAGGAAACAGACAACTACTATGCTTATCAGAAGGAAGTGGGTCCTACTTATTGTGGGATAAACAGTGGTGACTGCTTGCTCCAGATGGCTGATAACCCTTAGGGAGAATAACCCCTGATCTACTTCTGATGACCTCCAAGTGTATAGTCATTCTCAAGCCACTAAGTTTGGCATATATTTGGGGGAGACAACTTGGGAGAAATCCTTCTTTCCCACAAAAGCCCTGTCTTTCTCCTACAGAACTGCTGGTGGCTTCCAATACTGATCTTCTTAGCAGCCTACCGCATAACCACTATGCCACCAGGGCTCAGAGCGTAGTCAGGATCATTCTAGTGGGCATCAGAACCACATGGTGAGCTTATTAAAATACAGATTCCTTGGCCCAGAGGCATGCTTCAATAGGAATCATCATCATTCAAATGATTCCTTATGATGCAGTTTAAGAACCTGACCAATCAACTTCAAGTAAATGAAATCCCCAGACTCCAGGCTCCGGCATCCAGTTTCAGCAAAGGGAAAGCGTTCAGAGGTCGACAATCCCTACCATTGCTATGCCAGGAGGTTAAATGAAAAGGAAAAAAAAAAAAGTGTAACATGTTTGTTTGTCTCTTTTAATCCTCTCCTTGTCCCAACTCTTAACATTTTTTTTTTACTCAGATATTAAATCTAAAAGAGTTCAAAGGGCTAAGGCAAGCCAGCCCAAAATGAGCAGGCTCCCTCCCACGGGGGCCACTCGCTGGATGCTGGGGTCTCCACTGAGAGCCTGGTAGTAAAAGCTGGTGCAGAAGCAGGCGGTTCCAGCGGTGAGGAGGAATCCCGCCTAAAGGAGACACGGCAGGAATACAACCTTGTCAGACAAGGGTAGCCATAGGGCCCAGGGGCTTGGCCAGGGCAAGGCAGAGGGATAAATTACCCAAAGGGGTTTTCTGCAATGGGGCACCGCTAATAGGGCCAGGCTGTGTAAGAAGTGGTGTTTGTTGGCCTTTTCAAAGAGCTGTAAAAAAAAAAAAAGGGACAAGGGCAAGGATACACAAACGGCAAATGGCGGATCACCTTCTCCTCACCTGTGAAGTACCAGCTGTCTGTCCCCAAGCTTGTCCTCATGCCTGCAGCCTTTGCTACTCAAGAGAAACCTGGACCCCCACAGCCCCTCTCCCCATACACACTTCCCTCAGGGGCCCCCAGACTCCATGCCCTCGAGTACCCCGAAGTGGGAGACAGGGCAGTTACTTCACCTCCTTTCCGTAGGCATCCGGGAACTGGGCGCCTGTGGAGAGAGGCAAAGGTTAGGAAGAAAGTCCTGTCCTGGGGCCAGCTCCGATCACCCTCTCTCCTGGAGCGGCCCTGGGGAGCATTAAAAGGGCCACCCCCAGGAGGCTCCTGATCGGTGGAAACACGCATCGGACTGCTGTGGAAATCAAATGGAATGAACTAGGGCCTTTAAAAAGACAAGCATTCGCGCGCAGTCTGGTCTGGGGAAGACAGGCCGCTTCCGGTAGGCTCTGCCCCTGCACCAGACCCCAAAGGTCGCTCCAGGGATACCCACAATCCCAGCTCCCGTCCCTGTCCCCTGACCGTGCGCTCCGTAGGTGGCCATGCCTAAGGCCCCGGCTCCGGACACAGCGCCCAGACGCCTAAAAGCAGTCCCCAATCCAGCCATGGCTGCAGATGGTCACGCGCCAGGAGAACGGGGGCGCGGGCCACCCAAGAAGCCAGCCAATCCCGATCGCCCATGCAAATAAGGCACTCGAGGGCCCAACCTAGGCCGTGTTCATTTCAGCGTCCAGGTCCTCACCCTGGTAAAAGCACCTCTGAGTGGCGAAGACGTGTGGCGGGCGGAGAAGCCAGAGCCAATTAATCGCGGAGCAGCGAAGCAGTGGTGGGCGGGTTGAGAGCCGGGCTAAAGGATTTACGTCACGGATTGGCCCACTTTCCAAGTTGGCTCGCCTCTTTTTACCAATACCTGCCCCCCGCCCCCCCGCCCCAATCGCTGGACAATCTCCAAAGTTCCGCCCCTTTCCCCACAGGCTCCTCCTGTTCAACCTCAAGCCAGACCCCCTCCCAAAGAGGGGCGGCCCACGGAAACCCAAGCCCCACCCATCGAATCCAACCCCGCCCACCGTCCTGGTGGCCCCGCCCCGAGCCAGAAGGCCCCGCCTCCTCCGTGTGTTGCCCCGCCCCTTGTCGTTCACCCGTTCTTTTCCCCCGGCCGCGAGGACCCCGAGGGTGGGAGATCTGGGGGCTGGGGGGGATGTCTCCATTTTGTCCAGCTGTCCATCCGTCCACGCCCGCCTCCTTTCCCCGCCTCCAATCCCCCGCACTCCAGAGGGCGGGTGGGCCGGC